TCATCACAAAAATCAGTGTTAGTGGTACTGTGCTTTTTCTCGTTCGCTCTTTTCTGTCAATTTTTACAAAAATGTACAAAAAATCTATTTACATGAATCCAGTTGGAAGTACTGTTTACTTCATCAGTCAGGTAAAAATTGAAAATTCATTCAAACTGTTTTGTTTCATATTTTTTCATTCAACCGGTCAAAGTGTCGTGCCCTGAAAATGAAGAGCAGTCCTTATGGCATTTCGTCAGATCTTTCGGATTCTGATAAGAATTATCGCGAAAAGTGATCACATCAAAGTGAACTCTTTAGAAATCAGTAAAACATGAATTTTTCCCATGTCCGGATCTGGATTTTTTCCATAAGGTGCCATCTGGAATAGTTTCGATAAAGAAACGTAGCTGCAAAAGCTGCAAAATTTCAGCAAATTACAATGAGTCATATTTTCTAAAATGGCAATTTCACATCGTAGTAGATGGAATTTTTTTTATCATATACAGCGTCCCTCACTTGAAAAAACGCTTTTCTCTTTCTATATCTTAGTTATTAGTCGTGCGATTTTCACCAAATTTGGACTGGTATTCTGTATCTGGGGTTCTATTAAAATAAAATGGGGTCGATTTTCCATGAAAAGGCATCTTTCAACAGGAAAACGAACCTCATAATATTGTTCTTCAACGTTATAAGAATTTTCACATGAATTATGTGGAGGGTATCAGCATCAGCATTTTGGCGAACGTAAATTAGTATTCTATGCATCGATCACGAGGAAACCATGTATATAGGAGTGTATTGATAGTTCAATATCATGATAGTTTCATACAATATTTTTTGTAGGACCACAAGTAGGAAGTGACAACTTCGATGGCCGGTATAGTATTAGTATTTCCAATATTTTTTAGACAATACGGGGAAATCTGAATGAAGTTATATCAATTTCATGAAATATTCACACGTATACACAAAAAGGATGAACTAAATAAATATGAAAATATTGATAGAGAAATTTGACATTTGCGACTAAGAACTTCCAAATTGCATCTCATCAGAAGTATTCATTACTCACCCTGTGTATTATAAATGAAATGAATGATTTTCGTAATCCCAGCGAGAACACAATATGATCAGATCGACTATCGGTGACTTCGACGCATGTATTACGGCTATTCAAGACTCGAGAACATATATAACCGCCATCGCATATCAACATAAATAGATATTTTGAATTGACTCGGCCGTACCAGTATATCACCTGACGAAGCAACTGTATTAGCAAAACATGTCATGTGTTTGAGAATTTTGTGGAAATCTTATCGTTTGTGGAGTTTTCACATGAATAGATATACCTACACTGGTACGCGTGCTTCCATGACGCGAGTCTGCCGGTTTACTCTTATCCCAGAAAGTGCCTAACTGGCCTATAGAAATTATCGCTCTAGAATCAAATAATTTCTCACTATTTATATTTCAGCATTCTCCACCATCATAAGTACATAAATTGCATGAACTTTTGACGCATTCGCGTTGTCATTATGATTGTCATTTGGAATTAAATGTCAAACAACTCAAGCAAGTGAGATAGAAACATAGACCCACTTGATTATACCCAAGTACTACGTGTTTTTATGGGCCAAAAATTTGTTATCATGATGAAAAGAACGTGTCTTCATTGGTTAAGATCTGTATCATGATAGAAATCCGAGATAATTAATTCGCTTTTTATAAAATGGGAGTAGGAAAAATTATGCATTCGGAAATGATGAGTTCAACAAAAAAACTATGCCTTGTTCTTTTTATGTAAACCATAATTTTCTAATTACTGGAGGACTGGAGCTTTTGAACGTTCCAGAATTTGCGGTTAATTAGAAAGTCATTATTTATTCGGGGCTGATAATGAAGAGAGAAATTTGACCCATTCTATAGAATTTTGAAAGTATTGAATTTTTGCACATGGAGGTTCGAAAACATGAGTACTGTGAAGTTAGTTTTCCTACAAGAAATCCTGATTCATGAAACCCATTTCAATTCCAATAAAAACGCACGGCACTGTCCATAGTGATGTTTCTTTTCCTAAAAACTGATAATATCAATGGTAATTCATGCTAGTCCAAATTTGGTAAGAATCGCAGGATCGATAGCTATAATAGCTGAGATATAGAGGGAGGGGGGCATTTGAAGTGGGACATGCTGTATATAATTATATATTTACATATATCAATTCGTCTTTATCCTTCCCATGAATCATAAAAACCTGAACTTCGAAGTAAACACTCGAAACACTCGCGAAGTCTACCGCTACCGCAATTTCACGAATCCCATTATAGGCGATATTTTCTACTGTGATATAATACAAAATATCTTCTCTACCCTTGAAAGTCTATACTTATGTGAAATTCCCCGCTTCAAAAAAAATCTTTATATGGTCCGAAATGCGGCTTTTCGCCGGTTCCCCTTTTGCCGACAAACGTTTCACCTCACACCGCACCTATGACATCATCTGATGTTTTTATTTATCATTTCGGAGAGGAGGATTCACGGACATCGTGCTATACTTCCTTACTGGAATGCTAAAATTATCTTATAATTCCCATTCGATAATATAAAATAATGTATGGATATTGTGGACAGTATAAAAGCTCTCAAGGAATAGGATGAAGAAACAGAAATGATGAAAAATGATATAGATAGCTGAAGTACAAACGTAAATGTGTCCTACTTTTTGAATCCCTCTGGTAAAATCTCAAAAACGCAAAATAAGCCTGTATTCCAATATTGAAACACAGTTTTCAGCATTCTCCGGTGAGGACGCTAGGAATCGGTGTCGAAATGTTGGAAAACATGGGATCGCGCGCCCCCACTTTTCCCCCTCTAAAAATTTTTTTTCCTGAAACAAAAAATACTGGACTCTTCACAAAGGATGAACGGATGTTTCTCTGGAAGCGGATTTTGAGTTTTTGTCTTAGTTTTTCCAAAAAAAAATACTGAATATCCTCTTAAGAGGAGGATACACCATGCATCAGTGCAATGAAAACATGATTTCTCCGCCCCCACTTTTCATTGTTCAATATTGATTTTTTCGGAAAACAAAAAATATGGTGAGATGAAGAATTGAAATATCTAGGTTTCTCTGGGAGCAGAATTTTGAAAAAATTCACCGATATTCTGCAAAAAAATCATGAACATTGCATTTTTCGAGTATATTCAGAATTTTTTTTTGAAAAAACTAAGACAAAAACTCAAAATCCGCTTCCAGAGAAACATCCGTTCATCCTTTTTGAAGAGCCCAGTATTTTTTGTTTCAGGAAAAAAAAATTTTTAGAGGTGGAAAAGTGGGGGCGCGCGATCCCATGTTTTCCAATATTTCGACACCGATTCCTAGCGTCCTCACCGGAGAATGCTGAAAACTGTGTTTCAATATTGGAATACAGGCTTATTTTGCGTTTTTGAGATTTTACCAGTGTGATTCAAAAAGTACGACACATTTACGTTTGTACTTCAGCTATCTATATTATTTTTCATCATTTCTGTTTCTTCATCCTATTCCTTGGGTACTTTTATACTGTCCACAATATCCATACATTATTTTATATTATCGAATGGGGATTATAAGATAATTTAAGCATTCCAGTAAGGAAGTATAGCACGATGTCCGTGAATCCTGCTCTCCGAAATGATAAATAAAAACATCAGATGATGTCATAGGTGCGATGTGAAACGTTTGTCGGCAAAAGGGCGAGCCGCATTTCGGTTGACGATATAGAGACTTTTTTTGAAGCGGCGAATTCCACATAAGTAGAGACTCTCAAGGGTAGAGAAGATATTTTATATTATATAGAAAATATCGCCTAATATTGGGATTCGTGAAATAAACTTTTTGACCAATTGCGGTAGCGGTAGCACTAGACTTCGCGAGTGTTTCGAGTGTTTACTTCGAAGTTCAGGTTTTTGTGATTCATGGGGAGACTCAGATAACCAAATGGTGAACAGCAGAACGGGGTACAGACGAATTGATATATGTATAATATATAATTATATACAGCATGTCTCACTTCAAACGCCCCCACTCCTCTATATCTCAGCTATTATTGCTATAAATCGTGCGATTCTTACCAAATTTGGACTAGTATGAATTACCATTGATATGATCAGTTTTTAGGAAAAGAAACATCATTATGGACAGTGCCGTGCGTTTTTATTGAAATTGAAATGGGTTTCATAAATCAGGATTTTTTGTAGTAACTAACTTTACAGTATGTTACTCATGTTTTCGAACCCCCATGTGCAAAAATTCAATAATTTTATAATACTATAGAATGGGTCAAATTTCTCTCTTCATTATCAGCCCCGAATAAATAATGAATTCTAATTAACCGCAAATTCTGGAACATTCAATAGCACCAGTAGGTAGAAAATTATGGTTTACATAAAAAAAACAAGGCACACTTTTTTTGTTGAACTCATCTTTTCCGAATGAATAATTTTTCCTACTCCCATTTTATAAGAAGCGAATTAATTATCTCGGATTTATATCATGATACAGATCTTAACCAATGAAGACACGTTCTTTTCATCATGATAACACATTTTTGGCCCATAAAAACACGTAGTACTGGGGTATAATCAAGTGGGTCTATGTTTCTATCTCACTTGCTTGAGTTGTTTGACATTTAATTCCAAATGAAAATCATAATGACAACGCGAATGCGTCAAAAGTTCATGCAATTCATGTACTTATGATGTTGGAGAATGCTGAAATATAAATAGTGAGAAATTAATTGATTTTTGGAGCGATAATTTCTATAGACCAGTAAAGGTTGTCGCTCACTTGTCCGTCACAGCACAGCACGGTGCCGTCCGTCACCTGACGGCGACGGTTAGTAGCATCGCCTACTTTTCCGGCGATAACCAGCAGACCGTAACCGGCAAACTACCGCTCTGCCGAATATTGCTGGTTCTAGTTCAGTCACAGATATCTATTCTGTGATTCAGTTATCATCTAGAATCAGTTCAATATGTATGTCAGCAGTAGTTCCGATGACGAAGACATTGTAGTTGCCGCATTATTGGCCGAAGGAGAGAAAAAAAGAAGAATGTGGGTTCATCCCATCAACCAGAAGAGAGCAAATCTCGGAGAATTCCATCATCTTTTCAGTGATCTGAGAGAAGACGAGCACAAATTTTTTCAATATTTCAGAATGTCTCCTAGTAAATTTTCAGAACTTCTCAATATTCTAGAACCTGCATTAACATTTCAAAACACTCCCTTCAGAAGAGCGATTTCAAAAGAAGAGAGACTCGCTGTAGCATTGAAGGTGAGGTAAAATAATTGTTGCTATTTTCAATGTGTATTGAAGTAAATATATCAAGTTCACGATATAAAAATAACTATCCATCCTAAGGAAATCAAAGTGACTAATATTTCATGATAGACATCAAGTATTTTTTTTCTTCATAATACTGGCTCTCTAGATCCTTGTGGTATCATTGTTATCGTTATTATATTCAATTGGTGATGGACTAGGATTTAAGACTGAGTCATTGTGTTGAGAATGAGGCGGATATGGTGAGGCAGAAGAAAGTTGTGATTGCGGTTGAGAATAGAGTGCTGGTGGAATGGCAAATAAAGAATGCTGTGTTTGAGGCTGTAGGTATGGCGGATGATTGAGCTGCTGATGAAATTGTGGTTGAAATTGTGAATGAAAGTATGTCGATTGATGTGGTTGATTAGCAAAAGTAGCTTCTTGATTTGTAGGTTTGCTCAAGTTTAAGCTTCCAGGCACTGGTCGACGGTGCGCTCACTTGTCCAGTCCATCACGGCACGTTCCGAATTTCGCCGGATAGGATCGGAGACCAGCAATCCGTTCCGGCGCCGTCCGCTTCGGACTGAGCCGTGCCGGCCTAGTCCGCGGATGTCCATTTGTTCACATTATTTTAATCCTATCCAGTTTTCAACGGGACGTGCCGTGCTGTGCTGTGACGGACAAGTGAGCGACAACTTTTAGGCACTTTCTGGGATGAGAGTAAACCGGCAGACTCGCGTCATGGAAGCACGCGTACCAGTGTAGGTATATCTATTTATGTAAAAACTTCACAAAATTCTCAAACACACGACAGGTTTCGCTAATACAGTAGCTTTGTTTGAGATTCATACTGTATATTTTATTGTATTTCACGACCCTGTACATCAATTTGATGATATGTTGTCATGGACAGTTTTTTGAGAGAATAAAATAATTGGACTTTTGATGTCATACAATTGTGTCTATTTGACTACATTTTTGATAAAAATAATTAATTAACTGACGAAGTAATATTGGTCCTTCGAGAAAACCGACCCAGTTCTATACGAAATACAGAAGACATAGAAATATTCACGATGGAGCGAAATGAATCGACGAGAAGGAAAACAGCAGGTATGAGGAATTTGGACACCAGTTATAGTTGGCCACCTGGTTTTGGAATTGGAGGTGTTGTCAATGTCAATGCCATAACTGAAAATTTTCCTGTCAGACCTTTAGAAGAAATCAGATCAATGACGACTAAACACTTCAAAGAGAATGGCCCTTCGGGAGACGATAACGACAAATCAGATAGACCTAGCCGAAGTAACCTTTCCCAGTCAGTGAAGTCAAAGTCAAAAATTTCTTCAAAAAGATCCTGTACGAACCATTCTAAAGCTAGTACAATCCTGCGAAAGAAAATGAAAGCTCTAGAAGAAGAAAAACTGAAGCAAGCTATAGAAATCAAGAAAATGGAAAATAAGCTGAAGCTATTGCAGTTAGAAGATGAAGTCCGCGACGCAGAAATTGAGGAATTGGAAAGTAAATCTGATTCTAAGTCTTCAGGCTATGACTACGAAGAGGAAGATGGAAAAAACGATCGCATTTCTGCGTGGGTGAAGGATATTCCAGTAGAAGCAGAAGCTACTGAAACAGAAAAAATGTCCGAGATGAAGATTCTGTGCCAAACCATTGCGGATGCCATAAAAACCGTTGGTTCAAGTTCAAGACAAGATAAATTCGTATCAAGACAAACTATAGAAGAGGATTTTCCACAATTCGATGGTAACCCGGGAGACTGGCCGACCTTTATTGCCCAAGTACGTCGTATTTCTTCTTTGTTCGAGTTTTCCCCAGACGAGATGATGATCAAGATTCAACGAAGTCTAAGGGGTGAGGCGAAATATGCTGTGATGGGAATGATGCTTTCTCCAGATAATATTGAGTTGGTACTACAGACGCTGGAAATGAGGTTTGGTCGTCCAGAATTGATTATCGAGGGTCTTATTGATAAGGTAAAATCTTTTCCTACTATGAGAGAGCAGAATTTGGAAACTTTGATTCATTTTTCAAGTAATGTTCGATGTTTAGTTGCTACGATAAAATCGTTGAAAAATATAGGTCATCTTCAAAATCCTCAGCTTTTGAAGGAATTAGTTCAAAAGTTGCCGGAAACACTGAAACTTCTATGGGGTGAAGAAATAATGAGTAGGCACGGAGACATTGATTTGGAATATTTTTCAGAGTGGATTATACATTTTGCCACTGCAGCGAGCTATGTTAGTACACCAAAATTTCCAAAAACAGAATTACGATCTAAAAATTATACGACGATGACTAAAAAACCTGAAATTTCTTATGTCACATCTGATCCAAGTAATATTTCAGAATACAATCACTGTACTTATGGTCCGGACAAAGGCCACAATGTGAATAGCTGCCCGAAGCTGAAAGAAAATGATGTTGATATCAGATGGGATACAGTCACGAAGAGGAAATTATGTTTCTCCTGTCTGAAGAACAACCACCAAACTATGAGATGTAGGGCAAGAAAAGTATGTGGAGTTGATGGATGTCAGCGGCGTCACCATAGGTATTTACATAAAGAGACACAGATAGCTGCGACTGCTGATCTTCCTAAGACCCTTCCCTCCCAGACTGCTTGCTCCTCTCAAGTTCCCTCTACGTCCCAGGTTCAGTCTTCTGTCTTAGCAGTAGGACATGGAAAAGGTAATATACTTTTACGCACAATCAAGGTTCGACTACATAGCGAGAATGACATGGTGGAAACCGTTGCCTTATGTGATGAAGCGTCAACTGTTTCGTTGATTGACAATTCCATCTTAGACAAACTCAAACTCAAAGGTAAGAAAGAAAGCCTTTGTATACAATGGACAAACAATTTGACGGTAACACATGACAATTCATTATGCTTGAGCTTAGGAATATCAGGAGCATTTGACGACTCTAAAATATTCACTTTAAAGGGTGTTAGATCCATTGAAAATTTGTCACTTCCAGAACAAATCATCAGGCAGAAAGATTGGCAAACTCACGAGCATCTGAAAGGACTTCCTTTTTCGGAAATTGATGAGCGACCTATGTTACTTCTAGGGCAAGACAATATTGGACTGACTGTTGCCCGAAAAGTGATTCAAGGACCTGAGAATACTCCAATCGCCACGAAGACTAGTCTAGGATGGATCCTCCATGGAATCGATAATGGTGGTCAGATGAAGTCGAACCATTCTTTCCATATTTGCTGCAAAGACGCATCCGATGACTATCTGCATGACTTGGTGAAGCAGTCGTTCACGACCGAATCATTTGGGGTATCAGTATCCTCAAAATCTAAATACTGCAGTTCAGACGAAAGAGCCATGAAAATAATGGAAGATACTGCAAAACGAGATGGTGACAAATTTGAGATTGGACTGCTCTGGAAGGAAGATAACATGGTACTACCTGAAAGTAAGAAGGTGGCCATCAATAGACTTATGTGCGTTGAGAGACATCTAGAACGCGATGAAAATTTGAAACAGAGATATTGCGAAAAAATTAGAAGTTATGTGGAAAAAGGATATGCGAAAAAACTAACAAAAGAAGAAGCTTCCAAAGAAAATGACCGATGTTGGTACTTGCCTCACTTTGGAGTGATCAACCCAAACAAGCCTACTAAGTTGAGACTAGTATTCGACGCGGCTGCTAAATCACATGGGGTGAGTTTAAATGATAACTTGTTAGCTGGACCCGACCTCCTTCAGAATTTGGTAGGAATATTGTTGAAATTCAGACAAAGAAAAATTGCATTTTGTGCCGATGTGCGAGAAATGTTCCATCAGGTACGAATTAGACAGGAAGATCGAGATTCTCAGCGATTTTTATGGAGAGATGGAAACTCCAAGAAGCCAATAGAGGTTCGAATGAATTTTCAATTTCGACCTGACTGATGAAGTAAACAGTACTTCCAACTGGATTAATGTAAATAGATTTTTTGTACATTTTTGTTGGGTAGAAATTGACAGAAAAGAGCGAACGAGAAAAAGCACAGTACCACTAACACTGATTTATTTGATGATTTGAAATGTTAGTTCTTGATCGAAATTCTAGATAGATATTAGTAGCCGTGCCCTATTTCTTATTTCATGATGTGACGTGTGATTCTTGCACTCAAGATGTCACTTTATTCTTCGAATGCTGAACATGGAGAAAGTTCAAATGTTTGCAATGTTCAATTCCATAGAAGATTTACAGACCCAAGAATATGTCTAGGGGTAAAACCTTCCTACGGCTATTGGTTATACTACGCTATACTTATATAGTGGAGTATACTACGGACTCGCCAAAAATGCTATCTCGGAAACTAAGCGAGATATAGAGGTATAGTTATACTTGGAGAAAATGATCCCCATCGAATTTCGAGCAACTTTGGTTTTTGTGTGTGGTCTGTCTGTCTGTTTGTCTGTACTCTGTGGTAATCATAAATCGATATTTCTCCGGAACCCTTTGACATATCGACTTGAAATTTCGCCATTTTATTGTACTCAAAACAATATCATGTCATTAAAATATGAAGGAAATCGGAAAACTCTAAGGTGGTTTTTCCGGGTTATTATTTCAAAAAAATCTCATCGCTCATGGAATGTCAAATGTGAAGCAATGACATCGCTGTCTAATAGATGAGCATTACTTGACAGGAAATCAAATGGCTACAAGCCGAAGAAATCGAATATGTCGCTGTTATCTATTATAGTCGTAGAAAAATTATGGAAGCATTCGCCAATATGGCTCATGCTGCAAACTTTATTCTCGTAGGAAATCACTATCTTTCCGTGCTCGTTAAACAATATACTTATTTCGTTTATTACATAATCTGATCAATCACATCACAACGTGTGTAATCGCGAAAACACAAGCGGTCTTTCAATTCTGATTGGTCTATCAGCGTTGGTGTTTTCGAAGATGTAACCATGGATAGCGGAGCAAAGTCTGTCAGTTCGGCAGAATACGAATCGCTCATTTATAAAAAATTCTCTTTCTCTAGCAAATAACAACTCCGTTCTGAATATGTTCTCATGATTCTGGCTTTTATTAACTCAATTGTGTTGAAATACCACTCGTCGATGGTGTTGCCCAGCAGCACACTTTTGTGAAATCTTCATGCCATACTTTCACCAGTACCCATCTTTTCGGATTATCAACAGAAGTCACATCACGTCAAATGATGAAAAACACCGCCTATACTATTTCATTATTACTTCATTGATATTTGTAAATAGAAACAAGTCACGATTTCGATCAAAAACGAACATTTCAAATCACCAAAAAAGCAGTTCTGTGGTTTCTTATCAACTACTTATATATGTCGATTCCTATCGTAAATTCACATGAATCCAGTTGAAATGAGAGAGTTATCAGCTAGGTTCCAATTGAAAATTCATTCGAACGTTTTTGTTTCATATTTTTTAATGAACCGATCAAAGGGTGTCGTGCAAATTGAAGAGCAGTTCTTATGGCATTATGTCTGATCTTCCTGAATCTGATGAAATGTTTCTAGAAAACTGATCATAAAATGAGCTTTTTCTATATAACAAGAGAACATGAATTT